GCTACTTCAACAAAAACAAAGGAAAAAACCTGCCCTCCACCCTTTCCACGTCCCCCTTTTCTGCGCCTCGTGCGCGCGCTCAAGGGTTCTGGGGGTGTGGATTGAGAGTGAAACACACGCGTGAACGGAAGGAGGGACTTATGGGGTAAGTGCAATTCTGCTAAAACGGACAGGCCTTCGTTAATGTATATCCGGGCCGTGCGTGCGGCTTGCCAACGGCCAGCCACCAGGAGCCTATCTAGACTCCCGTGCTTGGAAAACCAAAAGGTCGAGCCCCCTCTCCGGAGCGAGTAGGGTCTGAATTCAAAGAGCGTAAGCTTGAGGTCAGCTAAACAAGTCTTGAACATTTTCCTCCAGTAGGAGGCTGACGGGCAGAGTGACGCTCTAGGGCCGTTCCGGCCTTTCCATTGCCACAACCACTTCAAAGCGACAGCTGCCGTCAAAGTCACCGACTCAGCAGCACCGGTTCTCTTACCACCCTTTGTTAGACCTAAACTAATCACTGCAGGAGAGCTAGCAGAGGTCATACTGATGTCAGAATTTCGAATTCCTAACATTTCCCCAGTCCTCAGCATGGCATAGAAACACAGGAGAATGGAAACTGAAAAATTGAAATGCCCATGGAAAAATCCCCAGCCGGCCATGGCCAATATGGCCTGCTCGGGTAGGGGCGGAGCCCTGTTTGGAATTTCTTGGGTATTCCATGTTTTTATCAATCTCCATGTCTGCTGAAAATGCCCCTTAAGCTTCGGATCCAGGTCCTGTAATCCTGCGATCGTGTCGGCAGCGAGCCCACGGCCCTCGCCTTCTGACCACAGAAATTCAACATATTCCGACACAATTGCATCAAACTGGTCACGTCTTGTGGGGATTTCAAGCTGATTCTTGTGAAGAAAATCATAAAATCGCTCCCTGGCATTCTTGTACCTTGCATTAGTTTTACTAGACACGGTTAGACCCTTCAACGGCCCCAAGGCCTTGCGCTGCTGCTTCCTATCCTCCTTGCTACGACCCTCCAACACTCGTGCTCTCACTTTAGCCATTTCTTACGCAGCGGCCGCCGGCTGGGGCGGTCCGCAGGGTTGAGGGATGTGTGTATGTACCCCCAAAGGGGGTGCAGGTCCGCAGCAAGTAGATAGGAATTGAGTTGCATAATGATGGGTCTCAACCGGCGACTAGAGCTCCTACCTCTAGTGAGCGCATGAAGGCACACAAGACTGTCGGTGAGGTGCAGAAATCTCACCCCCACACGCTTGCACCTCCAGATCTTCCACTTGACACTAGTCAGGATGGCACGAAGCTCTAAGCCATTGATGTGTTCACCTGAATGCATCCAGCGCCAACCGCAGATCTCTCGCCACTTCCACATACGACCGGGCACGCTTGCGCGCAGGCGAAAATGCCGGGGAGCGGGGTCACTACCACTTTGGATCATCAGGTCCTCACCCTTCATGGAAGTTAACCCAATGAGTTTCTTGACCAGCTGGACCGTGTTGGCCTCTTTGACTAGCCCTTGCCTTCCGTGCAGAGGGGGACGAATCAACATGGTTGAGAACTCAGACGCCTGTCCTGGAGTCAGGTTCATGAGCAGCTGGTCAAGCCGGGTCACTTTGCAGAGTCCAAGTGGCACTGTCAATTGCTGCAGCAACCATGCAATTACACCTACCTGCCATGAATTACCTATCATAGTGAGGCGCATGTCCTCATAGTTGGCTCCCTGTTGTTGGCTTTTAGGAAGGCAGTTCTTTGTGTACCCTACAGGAAACCCCATGCATGCTTCGCGTTCAACTGAGTCAGGACGTCTCCATTCACCTTTTTTGCTCCAAAGACCGTTGGCATCTTTGTATTGGTAAGGTGGGAACCTGTACTCATCTGCAACCCAACGTGCCTTCTCATGTTCTTGGCATCCGTCCAATCCTGCAGGGCGGCGTCCTGGGCCAGTGCGGGGTCTTGACGTGGTGAACGTAGGCAGATAACCATCCTCTACGAGGCTCCATCCTGGGTGCAGAAAGGCCTTACTGTCAATGTCTCCACTGAGTTCCACCTTCCCGCAAGCATTCCCAGAGTCCCGCCCAGGATGGGTGACTTCAGCCCCCGGTTCCCCGCGAAGCTCCCATGTTACCCAATAAAGACGAGGCCTAGAACACAGTGAAATGCCCCTTGAGTCAATCCGGTAAGGTGCACGCTCAAACTTGGCGCTCATAACGCCACGATCACTCTCGGACATTGATGCCACATTTTCAACCAATTCGTGAACCTGTGCCCAATGGAACAGCCGCTTGAAGCCCGAGGTAATGCGCGGGATTTCCTGGAAGAGACAACTTCGAGCATCTTTTAGAGCTCCCTGTCTGTCCGAATTGAGTCCTGACACTCCCTGACACGGTGGTCCCGCACCTATAATGACCAGGCCTACGTTGCTGTACTTCAGGGACAGTTGAAGAATTTCCTCATCACCAAACGTGGAGACATCCGAGAAAAAGTCACACTCAGGAAAGAAACTTTCAACCACCCTATGGCAATGAGGATTCTGTTCAATGCTGACATGACCTGCCATGGGCAAACCAAGCACGTCACAAGCAACACGGAGGGCCCCGATTCCATCGAACAAACCCACACTGAGAACTTGGACCAGGTCATGCTCCTCAGGAAGATCACCCCTACTACTGGCATTTAATGCGGCATGGCCAAACTGACTGAGGCCCTTGGATGCACAGAGTCCTCCCCCGAACGATGAAGCGTCCGAGCACGTGACCTCTCCATCGACGTTCGCACGAAATTCCATCTGGGCTAGTGGTGAAAGCAGTATGAATCGGGCAATCTCTACCTTGACCTGGTATGGCAGGGCCAACCTGACCACTGGGGCCTCACTCTCAAATGCCTTCATGTGCTCAAACACCGCGTTCAATGAGCAGAGCAGCGCCCGTCGGAACATGCAGAGGTATACAAAGCCGCCGCACACCACCTGTAGCTCCCTCAGGGTCGATTCGCCCCGTCTCAACAGCTCGAAGCCCAGCTTGCAATATTGGATGACCTTGATCGGCTTAGCCATGGCAAAGCCACGCTCGCCATCCAGGAGAGCACCCTGCATCTCCCCTACTCCGGCCCGCTGTACTGCTTTCTTTGGGTGCCGTGGCAACCCCAAAGCCCCATATGCCTCCCTGAGACTTTCCACCTGTGAAGCCACTGTGCCTTTGATGGTGTCTGCCAAGTCAGCCTGTACCCGTTCCAAGCAGTCGAAGTTGTCTAGGTAAGTACGATACAGGTTGTCAGATTTGGGAAGACCCTTGTCCTTACGTAGCTCACCTTCACCACCGATCACAGGCCTACACTGTTGTGCACCAAGCCTCACTACGTTCCTATGGACATGTTGCGCGATGGACACAGAGTTTATAAACCCCATAGGTAAAACTCTAGACACTAACACACAAGTCCGACCCCGCCATTTCTCAGGAACCAGGGTCTCAGGCAACGAGCGATTGAACCCCATGAACTGTTTCCATCCCTCAGGCACAGCGAACAAGTAAAAGAAACACCGGATGTCCTCGCTTGACAGGAGGACTACTTCTCCATCTTCCAGCAAATAGCCATTCAGGCCTGAGACAGCCGGGAGCGTGCCCACGTCCCCTGCCAATGGGCGGCACAGGGCATTCACTGGTGTTAAATTCATGATCAGCCGTTGAGTTTCGATGCCGTTCTCGAACTCCCCTTTGCCAACTGCAAATAATCCGTTCAGCACGGGTTTTCCTTGGAGATGATATATCTGGTCCAGGGGCTTGGCCTCAGCGATCCCCCGCTCTAGGAGTCCTGCTGCCAGGCTCTCCCACTGTCCCTCCTGTATCATCACCCTGGGGGGGTGGTGTAAACTCGAGCCTCTTCTGGAACCATATATGTTTCAAAATCTTGAATATATGCAAGCGTGCCTAACCTACAAAACTCGGTTAAAGGCAAGGAACCAGTTTCCGCGGGCAACGATTGTTTGACGGCTTCCCATGAAAGTTTCTGGGCCATCTTGATTTCATCACCCTGGTAGCTCACCCCACGTCCCTGGAAAAACGAATCGAAATCGAACTCCTCCTCCGACACCCCCCACATGTGATTGCGCTGCACAAGACGTGAAACACTTTTTTCCGCTTTCGAACGAACTCCAAGCTCCACTTCGTGAGCTGAAGAAGTAGGAGAACTCGAGGAGATAGCAACAGGCCCTGATGTCCCAAATCCAGCCAAATGATTGAGAGCAATGAGGGCCCCTTGAGCAGCCTCCTCCGTCAGCCGGCGCGGAGCACCCTCTTCCTCAAGCACCTCCATCCTCACTGTCTGCAGTGGGAACAGAGGATTCCGCCGATCCAGAGGGTTCTCCTTGTTGGAGCGCATTGTCAAAGAGCTGTCCTGTCGTAGAACGCTGGCTGACTTCTTGATGATGTCATGCATGCTCAAGCCAGGAGCTTTAGCGTCTCGCTCTGTTGCTCCCGTCCCAAGTACTGTAAATTCAACGGCGTTCACCTCCCTGCCACCAGGAAGTAAAGGCCCTGTACCAGGAGCAAGGCCTGCTCCCGTGTGAGACTCCTCTAATGCTTCTTCTTCCCTTCTCCTTTGTCCTTCTTTCCTTTCTCCTTCTCGCGATCCTTGTCCTTGGTCTCCCCTTTCTCGCCTTTCACTTTTCCTTTCTCCCTGAAGCGATCTCTGTACTCGGGAACTCGTCCGGTGGCCTTGCCATAGATCTTGTTCTCCTCGTGCGCTGTCCTGCCTGCCTGGTGGAGCTCGCTTGAACTGGCCAGCCCATAGTTGTCCACCTGAATCAACTCCAGCTGTTTTATCAAGTCGACCTTCATGCCTTTTGCTAGCGCCTCCAACGATTTCAGTCTCTGTGACATCACGTCGCAGGCTGAGGCCACCTTTCCCTGGACCATCAGGTCCAGGGTTGCAGCCCAATGGATGGCTTCTCTGTAGATCACTGGCGACATGGATGCTCCCATCTGCTGCCTCACGTATTGGGATGTCAGCGGTTGCAACTGCCCTGAAGTCGAAGCCATACTCCCCATCTGTAATAGCATGCTGCGTTGGGCATCTTGTAACAGCTGGGCCGTTAATACACCTGGCAGCCTTTCCCACATCCTCTGTGTGCTGGTCTGCGGCGTGAACAGCTCCCCAAAATAGTCTTCTCCTTCGCTGACCGCTGACCTTGCTCGAGGAGTCCGAACTCTCCGAACTCCCGCTTGAAGCGCTGTCCTTGTTGCGGGCCTTCTTGGTCAGCTTTTTGGCACGTCGCCTGAACCTCTTCCGCTTCATGGGATCCGCGTCCATGCCCGTATTCTTGAAGATGATGGTATGGTCTTTCACTGCCTCGATCCTCAACTTGGCCTTTTTCTTCTTCTTTTTCTTTTTCTTTCGCTCCTCGGAGTCCCCCGATTCCCCAGGGGCGTGGTCCTTCTCTGCATCGGGTCGTGGTCCGGCTGGAAGTCCTCGTCCTTTTCCGCGGGCTGCAGCTTCTAGTCGAACGCGTTCTAATTCGTCTCTCTCTGCCTCTGCTCGACTGGTCTCTAAATTCTTCTCCCAAGCCACTTCTCCGGAACGATGTTGCTTGACCTGGGTGACATGGATCAGCCCGTCTTCCCAAGTCCTCCTGTCGCACCTTCGCCCGCACAGATGAAGCCGAACGGACTTCTCCGGCACCCCGCTGATGTAGCGGAGGAGGGCCTCGCTTGAGGTGCCCACTGCCTTGGCTAGGAGCTCTCGGTCTCCCCTGCTGGCCTTCAGCTCGATCATCTCCACGGTGCAGTCGACGGCCTCCTCCCAATACTCTCCCTGTACACGCATCTGAGCCCAACCTTCCATCTGTGCCAACGTGACCTCCTCTGCAGTCACCCACGGCTCCTCGATCTCTCCTGCCAGGGCGGCAGGCCGTCTTCTTACGACCCTCTGCCGCCCCGCCTCGGCCGCTGGCCTCCTCTTGGGCGCCATAGCCTCGCACCTCTCTGCCTCTCTCTCCAACTGCGCCAATAGTCCTGGTTCCTGAGGACGTGTTTCTTGCCCTTGGACTTCTTCTTCTTCGGCTTGCTCCCGTCACCCCAGGAGTTTCCACTCCAGCGGCCCCTCCCGAACCCAGGAGGTGGCCCCTCTGGTTCCCTGGGCTTTGGTCGATCTTTCGGCCGCTCTTCTGTCTCCTCCTCAGCGATCTCCCGGTCCTGATCTGGTTCACCTGCCTCACTCTCGCCTCCTTCCTGCTGTAGGTCTGCACCAACGGAAGGGCTCTTGGGCGGTGTCTTTTCTCTCCGCCTCCTGTCTCTCCTTCGTGACCTGCTCCTCGACCTCCGTGTCCTGCCTCGCTCTCTTGATCTCTTTCTCTGACGATCTTCTTCACGACCCTCCTTCGATCCTCTGGACTTATGGCCTCTCTCTTTCTCTCTCTTCTTGTCGGATCGCTTCTCCTCAACGTCCTCGAGGGCTCCTTCTTGTCCACCGGCTGCTCCTCTTTGACCTTGGTCTCAACGAAAGGACCCTCTCCGTCTCGTCGATCTCTCTTCCTCAGCCGGGCGAGAGGTGGCAACCCTCGCCCTTTGCTGGATGTCCCGCCCTCTTCTTTTTCAGGCGGAGGGCTTTCTGCAGCCCTTGTAGCCTCAGGAGCTGGAGCTCCCGCCTTGCCAGGAGACGCCTCTCCCGCACCACCAGGGGCCGCCGCCCCCGAGCCAGATCCACTGGCCTCTCGGGAAGTTCCAGGAGGAGGTCCTGCAACCTCAGGCTGGCTCAGTGCCTTCTCGAGGACCTGAGTGTACACGGCCTCCAGGATGGGAGCCGCGAACAGCCGGACCTCCTCCCGAGTCCCTGCTCGAAGCAGGAAACCCGAGAGCTTGCCTAGGATGGCGCAGCACCTGCAACCGCAGGTGGAGTAGTCGTGCGCCAACTTCCTATCCATACACTTAAGCCAGAACACTGCAATGAAAACATAGATCAACCTCGTTTTAACCTACGATACGAAGGACCATCAGTTGAACATGCGAAAAATAGCTGGAACCACACCCAGGAACGTACACACCAAAGTAAGATGTTGACATTGCGAACGTCCACGACCAAATGTGTTTGACTTGTCAATAGGGTGCACCCTCACCCAACTATAATATAGCAGACTATAATATAGCAGCCAAAAAACAGTGAATGGCATGACCACAAAAAATCGTAGAGTCCAGCCATAGAGTTCAATAGTGTCCAAGCAGATCGGCTGACTGCTATCACCTCCTGGGTTTGACTTCCTCTCTTCGACTTCTCCTTCTTGCCGTCACCCATGAAGGCGCGGATGTTGATCAAAGTGGGTCTGGCACAGTCGATCCACGCCCATGGTTTGGGAAATGGACCAGTCTACTCAGCCAGGGGCGAGAAAGGGTGTCTCCCTGTTTAAACATACACACACAGACACCCAGGTGGCTGAGAAGACCTTCAAACACTGTTGGAAGGTCCGGATGGTTGACAGGTGAGTGGATGTCCACAACTTGGCTGGGTCGAAGCCGCAAGAGGCAGCAAGGCTGATGCTATCTGCTGAAAAAGAAGGCAGATACTGATGCGATCCACGATTCGGATTGAACCAAAGACCAGGTGCAAACAGATAGGGACGATATGTTTTCGGCATACAGGCTAGTGTCTTTCGACGCGGCATAGGGAAGATATGGGGTATTTTCCCAACCTCACCCTATACCGTACCATGTGGGGTCCCTCCCCTCGCCGCTCCGATCCGCTGCACCGATCCGTCACAAAAACGCACCGCCTTCGCCACTCGTTGCTCCGCTCGGGTCGAATGCCTCGGACTTGGGCTGGATGTTCGGACCGGTGAGGAGTCCGTTGGGAGCCTGCGAGCCTGGTTGGAGCCTCATGGAATTGGTTTTTGGGCTGAAACAGCAAAGTTGTGTTTACAGTAAGTGGTGTTTCCTTGTAAACAAAAACCATCCGACGGAGCCGTGAAAACGGCTGCCCGGATCAGGTTGAAAAGGGTGAACGCAGTGAACTGCCATGGCAGCGCTGCCAGCGTTGAAGACTTCCCTCCCTCAGTCGCCTGGTCCAATCACACTGCAACACCAAGTGCTTCGAGATATGAAACATGGGTGCTTCAACCAGCACACCCTGGTGATTGCGGAGATGGATCCTGAAGGGAAAACACCATGTGTTTTTGGAACATCAGTTTCTGTTCCTATGACTTCCAGGTCTTTGCATCAACGAGAGGTTTGGAATGGTGTGGGTCTGCGTCCAGTCCGGGAGCCGTTGATCAAATGATGCGCCGAGCCGAGCTGACGAACGACTCGTTCATTGGTGCTTGGAAACGGGACCAGGGGTCGAGATTGACCTGCTGTCATTCATCCCGATGTGTCAGCCCATGACATGCTACTTCCTAAAGTCCTAAAGGTATATAGGAAGATGACTTAGGAAGATGTTCTCACAGAATCTCACCCTACTGGAACCGACCAAATCGTTTCGGCTTGAACTCGTGTCGTTTCCTCTGAAGAGGAACCCAATTCTTTCAGTTCCCAGGTCCCGGGTCTTTGGTGACTTCCGTGTCGTGTCTCTGGGATTTCCCACCATCGACGCCGACCACCCAACCCTCCTCCTGCCAAGCGGGCACATGGGCGTGATCATCACGGCGGCCAGCACCAGGCACCAGGCGCTCATTTTTGCTTACGCCAAAGTTCCATATGACAAGGCCTTTATAAATGCCTTTACTTATAGTTCATCTTATGGAAGGTGTTTGGCCTTGCTCAAGTCCTCAATGGCTCTATGCCCTATATGGATCACGGCCTACACCCCCCGCTCAGGTGGTGATGTCGACAACACTTGGGTCTGTCATACATGCCAGGAGGGTCCAGTCCTAACGAACAGGTTTGGGTGGATTCCTGGATTTCTTTGGGGATAGTAGGGGGGAGAAGGAACACCCCACAGCGTCTTCGCCGCTTCGCCCGGCAGCTGGAACGCTGACAGAGTGGTGAATAGGGCCTCTGCAACTGGGCTTCGGGACCTGACCCGCTTTCCAAACCATCCGAAGTCCACAGCCGTCGTGGTGGCTGCTTGAGATGTTGACATGTTCATGGTGCTCCAATCCCTGCGCTTCCAATGGGTGTCCTGTCTGGAGACCTATAAGTAGTACGGTTGTCCATTAGTGACCCGTTGGAAGCAGCTGGTATACAAACATCATGCGTGAAAGAAGCTGAACAGGCATCATAGACATTTCGGACTGCATCAATTTACATGTTATCGTCTGCAGGCGTGTTTTAAAGAAAAGAGAAAGCAAAGAAGAGGGTTTGTGAGCCCAAAATCGCTTTGGATTTGAACACCACTCAATATCCACCAGTCAGAGATACATCATAGCTAGGCGTCTGTGCCACGGGTCAAATAGAACCGGGGTACCTTGCGCAAGACCACCGACCATGACCCGAATATGACCGAATCGGCCACTGCGCAGGTCCACGCTCCGGGTGAGCATTCTCGCCCACCCAACGGAGGGAAGGGTCGTTCGGTCCTCCTTGGTCTCTCCCGTGTGAAACACCTTCCTTCGCTCTCCAACCTGCCAACCTCGCTTGTGGACTGGAAAGGCCGGACGAGGCCAAGTCACCGGACGAAGCCGCACTCTCGGCCGGCTGAGTCAGACTCAAGACATCTCAGTGGCTTGGAAAGCGGTCCCTGCAGTGTGGCTCTCCTCTTTGGTCTTGGTCTTGTTCTTTTTCCGCGCTGGCTTGGGCTTCGTCTCCTGCGCACCGGTGTTTCCGGTGTTGCGGTGTTTGCCAAATAGGGATCCAAGTAGCAGAAGGTGATTGGAGACACTGCTATGTAGGTGCCAGGAGGGTCCAAGTACCGAACCTGAGAGGGTATGATTGGATCCCGACTGTTTGTGAACTTGTGAGATTCGTTTCCTCAACTGAACTTGAGTCAATGCATAATTTCTGTCCTGCTCTGCTGGAGTTCGTAGATCTTCGGCCGCTGAGTTTTGTTACGAGCAAGTTGGAGACATTAACATCTAACATGCCTGTACTACATAGAATTCCACATTCGATTCGTCCAATCCTTCAGATTGACCATCCCACTGGAAATTATAGAGGAAGTACACATGAATGAATATTACTGATGGGACCACATACTAGATCGCAGTCTAACATTAACAAACCCGCCTGTCAACTGTGTGTTTGCCCCAGTCACAGTCCCTAGAAAAGGCTTGGTAATCCTTTGAGGAATCGTCGGATCTCTACTGCAGTTGCAAGTAACACAGCAGCACATCTTCATTACACTCTCATGGAGAGTAATAGTCTCTCCAACTTGAATCACCCCACCAGTGGAAGCTAAAAGGGTGGGAGTGGGAGTATTCCCCCCAACAAGTTTCTGTCGCCTCTGCCAACCCCTGACTTGGACTTTTTTGGACTAAATCAATCATACTTAGATCTAACATGCTAGCTCAAGCGAGGCCGGGTAGTACCTTTCGAAACGATGTTTGACTTAAGTAAGTTCTTTTTGCACTTCAAACTGGGCCAACTCGGCATCCTCCGCTCCAGACCGACCACGCAGCACACGCACCAAACACTTGGAGCGGACCTGACTCGGTGAAGCCTCTCGCGGCCGAGATGACCGGGGCCTCTTCGGTGAAGCCCAAGGACTTCATCGGCTCCCGTCTCATGAGGTTTCTGTCCATGCGACACTGGAGGTACCTTGTGACGAGGGCCGAGAAACACCGGTGAACAGCTGTGTATTCTGCGGCTTGGTCGATGGCATGTGAATTGCAAGGGTGGAATGAAGTGTTGAAAAATGGAGATTGTTTGGTGATTTCCAAGTAGAAAGATACCAATAACAATGTGTTTGACGGGAACTCGCAGCTTTGTTCTTTGGGGGTCATCATTCTTAGAATCACAACGACTGCGAAGTCAAGCCAATCTGATCAACATAAAACTCATAAAACAAATTGAGTATATATGTAGTGTGATTGTACAGCTGGACAAATGCATCTTATCTCTAAGTTCTTTCTCAAGCGCTGTTTGATATCCTGAAAAGCTTCTCTTCGTGAGGGAGTGTATGGGATATACGTATGTCTGTGTTGATCTGCCGTTGGTGCAGCCACTCATGTTGTCGGTTTCTTAAAGCGGCATACAAACCATGTTTTGCTCCAACGATCGATGAGTCATACGTGTGTATATAATATATATATATATAACACATCACCCATGTGTTGTCCAAGTCCTGTTGCTTGCAACTATTGTATCTGACAGTGGATGCTGATTTCTAGAAACAAAGGACCTGACAAGGGTGTTACATTGAATCAGATAGATAGACCATGATAAACCCAATGTGTAGGTTGATGGAAGTCGACCTCCACTTCCTACGTCACCCCGATGCCGGCCCAAGACAAGGGTCAGGCAGCGGATAGCGAATTCTCCGCTCTTCAAGGTTTGGTTTTACAGGGGGCACTTCTTCGAAAGGTATCTGCAAGACATGTTGTCGTGCTTGTTCTCCTCCAGTGTGATGTGTTGTCAAACTATAGGGCCTAGGGAATCTGCCAAGCAAAATCTGTTTGAGACGTCGTGCCATGCCCATGGTTCAGTGGAGGAAGATTTGACGTCACAAGTGACCCTCGAAAATGGCGAACTGCCACTGCCAGGGGTTTCAACACACTGACTGCCAGGTTTTTGTCCTAAGCGAGGCTAAGCCAGGGTCTCAAGCAATTTTTCACGCCACAGCAAGTTATATTCCCAGAATTGGTTTAAGGGAACATCTACAGGAATCCCATCCTTTTGCAGTGACAAAGCCACGGTTTCCTATATGAGGGACGGTCAAAACTCCCTATTCTTCTTCAACAAAAAATGGACGTCATCGGTTTTGAGGTGGACCTTATCCTTTTGCAGGGTTTTGTGCACAAACCTACCCCTCTTTACTAAAGTGGTCTTCGCATGTTTTGACCGTGGCTCATATAGATGTTCCGTTAAACCAATGCATGTCTTCTTGGTTTCGTTCTCAGGACCGATCCATCCCCTTCGGCGGCTCGGAGCTTCCCGAACTCTGAACCCCTATGTTGGTATTCGACACGTGATTTAGCATCATCATATGTCTGTATATACGTTTTATGTGGGTTTTCAGTATACCTGAGAAGGTGGTTATGTGAATCTCTTAAACATGAACTGACTCATGTCATGTCTAATGTCCATGAACTGACTCATCTCTTCCAAAACTGTTCAATCTATGTTCAATCTCAATGTCTTCCCACGTCACCTCGTCGAGTTACACGTAAACAGCGCCGTTCTGTTCTGTCGATTCGTCCGCCGAAACTCGTCCCTCTCCGTCCTTCAAACACCTGAGGTACTCCTCCTGGAGCGAGTCGTTTCTGTTTCTCAGGAAGTCCAGCAAGGCGAAAGCAGGGTGGAATTGGCAGGTTGAATTTCGACTGGTCAAGTGGCGGGACCAGTGGCTTGTGGTTCCGGATTGAATGGTGTTTATTGGGTCTTTCTATGTTTCTTGCGACAGCAGAAATCATGCCCGAAAGAACGAATTTCTCAACATGGAAAGAACATCATGTCGGAGAAGCATGAGTGAATACAGGAAGTGTCTATATATCGGCAGGTGTCTCTTTTCGTTCGGTCTGACGTGCAGAAGATCATCCGCAAAGGTCTACGTGTATGGTGGACATGGTCAAGGAAGTGGTAACCTAATCCGCTTCCGCTCCATACCGTGGTGTTCCAAGGACTTCCCATGTTCAGTCTGAACTGATTCTGATGGACGCCGTGACCGCACCATCTGAAAAAGGCTTACTGGCACCGTCAAGCCAACCCTCAATGAGTACAATTCAATCTGATCCTTTCAAGATCCCAACGAAATCGAGGAATTCCCCCGAACTAAATGTCCCAATTACATGGGTTCTTGACATATCAGTTGACTGTTGACTTCTCCAAAATGGGTTCACCTATCGCAGGAGGCCCCCCACAGACCCTGCGAACCCCGCGCGAGCCGTCCGCCGCCTTCAGATCGGAGCACTCGCTGAAGTGGTCCAAGGGGAAGGAGCCCTGGCGCGCGCGCGCGCGTTTGGAAAAACGGAGAGAGAATCGGAGATCGATCCCTTGCAGCATAGTATACCCCAAACACGCCCCGTCTGGGCCAGGACGGACTGCCAATCAATTGAACCCCCAGTCAACCACCCCAATGGGGTGGCATATATGGCAGTCCCATGGAGTGTCTGGGTACTAGACCGGGTTATAAGATTACGTCCTTTTTTGTTGAGCTGGAGCTTTTAAAACGGGTCGTTCGATACTTCACTTATATTTGGAAATGGTTCTACGGGTACTACGGGTTGCCTGATGTGGATCATGAGCCATGCCTGTTGAGCATGCAGTTTTACTGCACGCTACTTAAGCCATGTATTCTTCCTCCATATCTGCAACGGACCCCATGTCCATGTCGCATGTCTAGTCAAACGGGAGGCACTGCTCTTTAGATTCCCATCCTGGGAAGAAAGCGATCACTTTTCCATAGAATCCAAATACCTCCTCAGGTGAAGGGTACTTCCAATCAAAAGTCTTTGGAGCTAAAGGACATCCTCAGGATGGTCCTGGACCCTTAGGATTCAGAAATTAAACTACTGCCGACTCAAAACCGGAGACCCTGGGCCTTATTTTGGATCCATACATATCCATACCCACATCAGAAACAAGAAAACATCAGCCAACTGTTCACACCCACTCTCAAGAAGTCAATGGTGTGTCACCCCAAAATGTCATATAAAATACACCAACCATCACCAAACTGTAAACTCGTGATTGAACTCATCGAACCTTTATGTACCAAACACTCCATGGGGACTGGAATCTATGCCAATTGGTCGAAAAAACGCCTCCATCAGCCTCCATTCGAACCGGCCGTGCGAACGTCCCCGATCTCCGGATTCCCCGTGCCTTGTCCGGCGGCCTCCCGGGCATGATCCTCTTGCCCATGGACATCTGCGACCAGCGACTGAAACGCGAGGAACGCGAGAGGGTGAAAGGCCCGACGACTCGATGTTTGCACCACACATAATGTAGAAAAAGACCTTCTGAGGTGAATCCCACATCCCAGTTTTTGGACGTTTTGGACAGGTGCATAGTGATGGGGCAACGTGGCAATGTCAACTTCTGAAGTCGGTGACGAGCATGTTTGGTGCCCATCCAGAAACCTCCTTACATCAAAGTCGCCTATTTTGAGGGGACAGCATTCCTGCCATCGCAGCAAAGCCCAGTCAATCGAACAAAACAACTCCTCAAATCTACAAACTGGATTCATACTACAAACGCTTAAAACTTGATAGAAAATCATCTGTCATGAAAAGTTGTTTCAACAGCCCTATCACTGCTCATCACGTCCAAGTGTTCTTCAACAAAGACTTTTGACTGTATATATTAAGATTATCTGCGTAAATACCGAAGTCGAACCACATCGAACCACCGTTTTAATAACCGAACCACCGGTGTTTTTACGGAGTTTACTACAAAACCAGATCGACCATGCTTAAAATGGTCGACTTGACTTCCAGGGAATATTCATTCTCCTGGGAATCAAAACAGAAGAAATGATGGAGACCTTGCAACTAGAAAACAAATTCACTGCAACTGCCGTGATTGTAACATATTGTAACGATTTCCACAAAAATGCAATAAAATGACTCTTTGCTCTAACTCCAAGCGCCGTCCTTTTCACCCGTGTATTTTGTCCAGCTTCAGCCGCGGCTTCAGCGCGCGAAGAGTTGATCGATGTAGCAATCCTCGTGGATGTGCTTCGCCCCTCTGTGATGTCTGCGCTTAAAACTGACAGGAAAAAATCATGCCATCTGCGCAGCGCAAACACCCAGGCTCTCTTTGGGCTGTGCAATGAGCCGTAAGGTTTCAATGTTTTGAACAAAGAATCTGAACTAAGCTAGTACGCATAAAGGTGCTTGGTTCCCAAGAAGGATGCATCACACTATATACTGATCATCTACTGAAAGTCTTTACGGCTCCTGTAGGAAGACGTGAATTACACTCCGAGTCATTCACCTGGAAGTGGAGTTCACTCCGAGTCAGCTGTTTGGTACTCGGAACATGATCCTGAACAAAACATCAGTGCCATCCACGGTTCCATTCTTTCGGAGTGTTCCCAAGCACTCCAGGTCAATTGGCCGGCCATATTTACCTACATTGGGGTGGTGTTTTTCGGGGTCCAGGCATGTATATGCCAGTCCCATGGAGCGTGGATGTTTTGTTGCTCCGCCTGTGCACACGAATTGAGCAGACCTACTCTGACTCAACCGCGCGAAACCGGCACCCGCGAGCCCGGTGGGCGCGGAATGCCGCGCCGCGGGAGCCCGGGGATAACTCACCTGGAAGATGGCGAGAAAAGGCTGGGAAAAGCAAGGTACCCAGTGAAAAACGGTCTTGCTGTAAGGGACACCCCCCAAAAAAGAGTATTCAAATTGAATGTCTTCAATGGCTCTACTAGCAAATGGATCCACTACCACTCTCTGAGAAGGGAGGGTCCACTTGTACATTCTGAGAAGGGATGTCCATCCCTATAGGGACGACGCTTTATACTGGCATTGGGGGTTGAGCATGTTTGTCGGATCCTGATCCCAAGTGCTTCTCTTGCTCGAGCATGTTTGTCTTCTCATCCCTTGCTTCCTATGACTATGAACTCATTGCTTCCTATACGGACTCTGGCCTCATGCTCATCAGCTCATCCCCTCAAAGCCTGGTATCATCCTTCATGGTCCTATGGAGTGGTATCTCATACCTTCTTGACCTTGTTGACCTACCATTTGGGGGGTGGCTGTTTATTAATCAGGAGTCTGCATTATCGTCTTCTTTTTGTGTGGCTGGGTCGATCTAAGTTCTTTTTGCACTGGATCTATAAAACATGTTCAAACATGTTTGATCCCAAGTTCCCAACTCATGTACACACAAGTTCCGGCTTCAACATGCACTGCAGAATATCTCGAGTCCATGTGGCCGAGCCAGTTTTGCGAGAAAGGAGGTCCCAGGTCCCGAGCTTTCATTGGGCCTTCAAAGGGCTCGACCTGGTCACTTCAGGGCATGTTGAACGAATGCAATGCTTGGGTCAATACGGATCGACCACTGGATCAAACGCGTGTTGCCTTTGGTAGGTACAAGCATTCGCATGCGCAAACCGCGACTCCGACCATGAGCCGGAAATCCCTGGAAAATAGGGCTGAACACCAAACGAACTCCTGTTCTTGATGAGTTCAGTGGGATATCACCCATTTCAAGCTAAGGATGCAAGTCCCTGCAGCTCGTTGTCTTTCTCGGTCGGATCCCAATTCGTGAGGGAAACAATTATATACCATGCAGCACGGAGTCCAGTCATTCGACATCCCCAGCTGTCTCCAAGTTCTGGTGTTGGAGTGAACTCGAGCACTGCCTGAGGGTCGGACCCGGGCCTCTCAGGCTCTGCATCCACACAGCAAAGGAAGTCGGCCTGAGGTGAGCCTCCGAAAGCCGGGTTGTCCAACGAGGCGAAGATCAGGACTCCCGGTGTTCATAGAAAAATGGGGTGACCCTCCCATGACCCTTCCTATACCCTAGGGATAGATGCGAGACGCAGGATGGATCAACATGGGGGTGATTCACCTCCAAACGTCCACAAAGGTTTGCCTAGCTACGGGGTTCCAGGAATGGAGCCCGCCAGCACCACGATGTATCCTTCGTAGACCGAATAGGTTAACTTGCAAACTGATTCTGTCTGTGCACGACCCTTCCGTTTGCATCTGAATTCAAAGACAATCTTGATGCACAACTCCTTGGACTATCTGTAATGAACCAATCCAAAGCCGGCGGCCTGAGGCCGAGCTCTTCATCTTTTGCGGCTGAGGTGCTCGCAAAAGGATACAAAAGCTTCATTCATATATTCTATAAGGTATGATCGTAGGCTCCCGGGTAATGTGTAACTTATTGGTTAGGATGCTTGGCCGTGGACATCAAATCTGGGATCTGCTTGGCCGTTCTTCGAGTTCCTCCCATCATCTCCCATCCATGAAGATCTGCCTCCGCCCTCAGCTCTTAAATCCTTCTGCTTCTCGATGCCTTAGGCGCCAGCCACGAGCTGTGAATCTCTAGAAACGCACCCAAAAGAGAGTCCCATCAGCGGCTAGATTTGGGGTTCACCAGGGGTGTCATGTGAGCTGGCTCGGCGACTCAAAAAGCAGTTCCAACATGTTCCAACCATGTTCAACCCATAATTCATCGAACCCGGATGAACCCGGCTTTCAAACCACACCAATTATATTGATTCGTTCACGATGTCCCGGTCGATTCTTTTGCGAATTCACCCATGTATCGATGCTCGTTCTGACGACCTCCGCCTGGGTTCGTTCCCTCGAACGGCACCATCCGACCACTGCTGACCCGGAGAAAACGACGACCCGGTGTGGACGTCATGTCACGCAACCCGTGAAGACATCGACCATCTCCATTCCCAGACCGGGACTGGAATATATGCTGGCACCCCACCAAAAACCCCGCTGGCACCACCCCTGGCCGTCCCAGGAAGTCTGGTCTGGGAAGGTCTGGGATTGGGAACCCAACAAATCCCAACGATCCAGTCACTTCCACCGTCGATCCAGCGAATTGAAGGAAACCATCGAACGACTGAACGACCTTGCGCCCAATGCTTCGACCCCGAACAGGAAACCATCGATCTATAGCCACTATTTTGATTCTTATTTGAAATGCTTTGCTTCTCGATGTCCAACCAGCAAACCGAGCAAACATGACCGCACATAGACTAATAGAATATCCTTCGTTTGCTGGCAGGTTCTCGCACTTTACACTGCCCCGAGCTTCAAATTCCCGTTGATCCTCGCTGGAACACATGCCTGTACCGTCAACCGAGGTGCTGAAGTCCAGCAAGGGCGCGCCGTAGGGCCGCCGCCGGCTCATCTGCAACCTCGCAGCGCATCATTACCCATCGGCATCCAAATCCACATGTGTTGCACCCCCTGAAGGAATCATGGAAGTGGAAACCACCTGTTTGTTGGTATTCCAAGTGGCCAATGAAGACCTAAGTATAAGTACTGTAGGGTTGTCCATTCGTGACCCGAACGGAAGCGTCTGGTGCTACTTGCAAACCACAGGAAATGATATATCGTAGTTTACATCAATTTCCCATTGTCTATAGGTCACCCACCAACACTCCATTTTTGGAGTGTCCATCAAGATTGGGTTGGGAAACAATCAGCCCCATTCTGACAATCCTTCTTTCACGAGGCCAAGAGTTCGGTCATTTCTCCAAAGAGAGTGTGTTACAGGAGTTCTACTTCTTCGCCCTGGTCAAGGAGATGGCCTTCTTTGGATTAAGAACCAGGAACCAGGAACCAACAGTTGTAGCGTTTGGTCCTGCAAAAGTGTCGACCATTTCCCAGCATCTGGTCATACCGTGATGAATACACCACGGTAGAGTGGACTAACAAGACACCAAAGACACGAAAAACAAGGTTTCCACCAGTCACCAGCCCACCAAAGATCCAACCAACACGTGAGTTTGCGTTACTTTCTTGGAATTGTTTCCGTTGGACCCCACGGAGTGAGTCACCGGAGTCAGTCAAGTGAACGTCCATGGTCCATGGTCCTTGCTTTCATTCTCAGTAAGACACTAAGGAGGTTGGTTGTGATGTATGTTGTGTCCCACAACATGCTACTACGGAGTGAATTGACATAGATATTATATAATATATACGGTATGATATGACATATCATATGATCCGATACGATGTGAGATGATTTACCATGAATATATATATGAGTCAGCGTCAAAAATATATGCTTGGAGTGTTTTCGTTTCACTTTTGTCAGTCCCCTATCGTTTTCCATGGTTTGGTACCCTATCGTTTTCCATGCTTTTGACCCCCCTCTTGCGAACAGCAGCACACACATGCACATGGACCAACCTGCCAGGTCTAGGGTAGGGGTAAAAAACACAGTGACAAGCGGTGCCAGGAGGATTTGCCTCTCACATTGCATGTAAATAAGAACTGGAATCTGCACAGCCTTGGTTAACATGCATTGAGAGCCCCCCAAATCCACAACGCGACTGCTAGCAACAGGATATATCCGATCCAGGAAGCCCAACATGGAGGTGACCCACACCTGCCTCCTCCGAGCTGCACACACATTTTCAGTTCTGAGAAGATGAAGTGCTAGAACTGGAGCTGTCGCTGCCAGATGACGAGTCCGAACTTTCTGAGCCAGGGTTCATTGCAGCCTTTTTTTGTGCTACAGCCCTTTGCTTTTGCTTCTCTGCCCATTGCTTTCTTTTCTCAATCAAGCAATGGGCATCTGGCACCCCTGTGAAGCGCAAGTTTGCCCCATCTGGAAGTAGGTGGCTCTGGTCGCTCTGCCTCCTGGTCAAGGTAGTCTCCTCGTGAAGACCCAGGGGCCTAACATCATGGTCCCACCGCTCTCGCCCAGTTTCAGACCAAAAGCCTCGGCGGTATGCAGGGGCAGAATCCTTGCTGGGCAGGAGTTCCAAATCACTGGTGAGATTGGTGGCTGCAACCATGTTGGAGAAGACATGGTTGAACACCTTGACGCCCAGCCTGCTGGGACCTTGAGCCACTGGAGCACTGGAAAGACAATATGTTCGAGTAATGTGAAATTTTTTCGCCTGCAGGCGATATCTTTCGTTCGCCGGCTTTTTCTGGGAACCGACATCATTGATGATCACCAACAACGGGGCAGTAGCGTCTGCGCTGCGTGCCGCCTGGTTTTTGCCTGCAAGAAACTTGCACAAGTCGGCAATCTCAACCAGGTCAGTGCCTTGCTTGCGGGCATCTTTCACATAGCGCTCAAAGATGGCAAATAATCTGTCTGCCTCGCTCTTGAAATGTTTTTCCACACCGTAGTGGACACATACTCGAGCTTGGTGCTGCACTGGCAGGACGCAGCAATAGTGGTGCAGTGCTTCGTAGGATCTAAAGTGCGGCCCGGCATCCGAAAGAAGATGAATGGTGTCCACCGGGTTTGTTCCCCTGCGTTGTCTCAGTGCCTGGTCGATGCACTGAGATGCCCGACAAGAGGTGTGATCCAAAATGTCTGATAGGATCAGAACCCGGGTCCACTCCACAGTGCCATCTCTTCTTCTTTCACTTACGACAGATCCAAAAATTGAGATTTCCATCCGTGCGTTTGCGAAGAACTCTTCTCCAGTCTGTGTGCTGCGGACTGGCAATGTGAAGAGTTCTTTGAAGTCTGACAGGACAACCACGGTACCTGCAGGAGGCTCCACCAACAGGTTTGTCAGCACTGGCTTTTGAAACTCATTGGCAGAACGATGGAAGAGGTAGCTGTCCAAGAGTTTTGACATTGCTTCCAGTTGCACACACATGTCCGCCTCCTTTGCGAAAAGGGTTACACGATTGCGCTGCGGGAAGCCGCTGCGCCTGTTCCGCAAGCAGCCCAAGCCACATGGCCAGGAGGTGTGCCTGTGTCGCCGACATGCCTCCTGAGCAGAATGATGCTCCACAAAATGCCGCAGCTGCCGCAAATGCAGGCCTGGCTTCTCAAGCAAAGAGTCATGGCCCTCAAACGCATCCCATTTGGCAAAATAGTTCGGCATGATGGCCGTGAGTTCGGAATGCACAGTGGCAAGCAAATCTTTCACCTGAGGGGCAGGTCTTCCAAATCTGACTACTTTCAGTTAAGC